CTCTTGGTATCAACCCAATTACTCTTAAATCCCCAGAGGCCAAAACAACAGTTCCTTCATGCAAATCTCTTGCACCTTTAACTTCTGTCTCTGGCTGGTGGAACAACCACAAGAGGAACATTTGCACCTGTTCAATAGATTCTATCTCTGAAGGGCCTCCTAAATTGTATCTGGTGTACATCACTGGGTTCAAAGAAATTGGAACGGTAATGCTTGAGGTGAATAACAGCTAACGTTGTTGAGACTCAGAAACTGCTCTAAGCCCCAGGAAATTTGGGAGGAGACCATGAAAGCTAACTTTTGGATAGAGAGCTCCAGTTCAACCTTCACCAAGGAGAAGCTGGAGTGGGGGAGGGGGGGAATCCCTGGCTGTTCTCCATGGATTTTGGAATAATGTCCTTTTACTCCCAGCAAGAAATTATAAGACTTGAACCGAATGGCAAGGTTTCGGATACAATCCAGCAGAGTGGCAAGCATCCACGCTAGGCTTGATCTCCTTCTCTCCTTTCAGGTATAACCACTACCTGGAAGTTTAGAATGCATCTTAAATCCTTCTTTGACTAGCATCATCAGATGTCAATTCAGTGATTCCAGCTTCAGTTCCAAAGCTGTATTGAGGCAAAGGAGATAGGTTCCCCACTACTTTTTCTAGTGCTTCTTTCATTCTTCACTTTTTCTCCATGAAACACCTCTTCAAGATGACTTGTTTTTTCTATTCCCTCCCTCCACAATTCCATAGAGCAGAAATTGATGCTTTGAGAATTCAGTACAAGAAACTCAGGTTTGGGGTTTGGGTTCATAAGGAGAACAAAAGCACCTTCTGCTGGGTTTTATGCATCTCTCCAGCTTTGTTCAAGAACCTTCATTCCATCTGTCTTCTAATTTTTCCTTCTCCTCCTCCTTCTCTTTCCAGTGACCAAAAAAAATAAATAAATGGAAAACTGGGTGTTAAAGGAGAAATGATATTGGAGAAGATATTGGAGAAGAGAACACATAAGGGTGGTACTTTGGCAATAGACCCATGTCTGGCATATAGAATGTCCAAATGTACATCTTATGAAAAGTTTCCTAATAGACCAATAGTCCAGGGTAAATTTAAGTCCTAAGACAATATGGAAATCATGTTTGTAGGAACCTCCAACCTTTAAGTTGATTTAAATTTTTGAACCATACCATGGGCACACAATGTGGTAATTGTGGAGAAGGTCATATTCAGAAAAATAGCAGACTGATTGGGTTGATCTACATAAGCCAACTATGGCCCATGAATTTTATCCACCATTCTACCTTATTAAGTCTATTTTCTAGGGCTTATAAGTGGGGTAGCACTCTGGACATGCTTCAAAGAACTCTTTCTCATACCCAACCAACCAGATGAGCCCTATCTCAATTGCAGCATCTGTCAAAGTTTCAGTAGGATTCATACCCAAGTTGTGGTGCTTGCTACCAGCTTGGCTGGCTTCAAAAAAGGGTTGGTCCAATTCATGGAAGCCATGGGAATCAATGACTGTTAGTGCTGATGGCAATGTGTAATGGTATGTAGGAATGACCTTGGGAGACAGGGGGAAGAGCTGCACCCAGGGGAACGGTTGGATAAGAGGCAGCTGAGCCCACAAAAGGAATGTGGGCATGGCAAATGTCTCAGAAGGGACCCTCCCTAGTTTCTTGGGCTGTAAAGGCGATGGGGGAAGAAATGTACTTTCAGACTTGCAAGATTGATGTCAGCCTTGCGAGGTGGTCCAAACAAGAAGCATGCCCAGATGAACCAGTTCTACTTTATTGTAAGGTTACATTAACAGAATCTTGCAAGTCTGAAAGTACATTTCTTCCCCGATTGCCTTTACAGTTCAAGAAACTAGGGAGGGTCCCTTCTGAGATGTTTGCCATGCCCACATTCCTTTTGTGGGCTAAGCTGCCTCTTATCTGACTGTTCCCCTGGCTCTGGTTCTTCCCCCTGTCTCCCAAGGTCATGCCCAGATACCATTATACAGTGTGACTGCCTTTGAAGGCCATCTGGTGGAAGAGTAGTGGACTTTCCTTGTGTAGTTGTTGGTCACCGTGAGAACAGACTGCTGGACAAGATATGCCAGGGGTCCAATCCAGCAGGACACGGATTATGTAACAGTGATATTATGGCATCAGGTGAGTTGGATGTCAACGGAGTTTGGAGTACTCGGTTCCCCTGCCTGCCAGCAATGCATATTGAAGAACCTTTCATCTCAAGGAAGCTTTTGATGCATTTGAATATACAGAGCAGTCTTTAGAAGGCCCTCCTGGCCAATGAGGCATTTTATTTTTGAGGGGAAAAAAAAAAAAGAATGAAACATATTCATTCCAAAGTAAGGCAAGTGAGGGCCGTATCTTTTTTTAAGGCCATCTTGAATACTGTAACTTCTTGATTTTTTCAGAATTGTTTTTGAGGCCTGGTCAACAAACATGCACCTACTGGTTCATTTATCATGGTCTTATTTGTTGTAAGAGGAACCCAAACATCTGGACTTGGTTCAGTTCCTGCTGTGAGGTTTTATCTCATTTCTCCATCCTGATGAACAGCTGTGCAACCCCTTGCCTGTCCAAACTGCACAGTAATAAGTAGCATCATCTTCCATCAGGGCTCCCGTGATGGTCAGGGACATGGTGTTTGCTGACCTGGAACCAGAGAAGCGGGCTGGGATTCCTTTTGCCCTGCTGCTGGTGCTATATATTAGAAGCCGTGGAACCTGTTCTGACTTCTGCTGGATCCACTCGGGGTAGTTATTGTCAGTGATGGGTCCAGCACCGTAGCTACATGACAAAGCAACTGTCCCTCCTGGAGCCACCATCTCTGAATCTTTCATGCTCTGCAGCTGCTGGATACTGGGATCTGAAAAAAATTATGAAAGGGGGAGAAGAATGGAACTAGATCACAGAGCAGAACAACACTGAATGGTTGCATGCTCGACATTAAAACAGGCAAGATGCCTATAAGATTGATCCCTCCCTTATGGTAATTAAAAATCTCTCACTAAAGGAGGAAAGGACTGTGAAGAGCAGAAGGACCCAAGCCATGATGGAGAGACAGCTAATCTTCCTGAAGGAGAGGAATCACTAACTGGCCTCCTCTAAGACTCTCTTAAACCCCCCTGAGGCCAACTCTACAAATCCTTCATGCAAATCAATTGCTTTTTAAGTCCAGGCCCTGAGTACAGAGGTGTATAAAATCAGCAAATGACTTTTGCTGCACCCTGCTGGATGGAGATGATGGCGATGATGGCGATGATGGCGATGATGGTGATGGGTTCCATTACAAGCTCCAGTGACCTCAAAATTAGGATAACTTGTGCCATGACCTCATCACACAAAGGACATAATTATATAATTGGGTGCCGTGACACAGTTATGCAAGTACATGATTGAATCATGTCCGTGATGATGGTCACAAGACATAGATTGCCATTTCCCCCTTGCAGGTGCTTGTGCATTTATGTGTATATACGTATGTGTAGGTATATAGCTGTGTTTGTATGTGTCTCTGTGTATGTGTGTGTGTATTAGAATCAAGCAGCCCCAGAATAAGTAT